TGGCCATCTTGTGATGATGTCTCATGTGACACTACCTAGGCTTTTATTATATAGGATAATAAGTATTTTTTTAAATCATCATCTGAGGCTATGTTTTTATTGATTTTAGAGAGAGAGAGTAAGGGAGGGAAAGATAAACATTGATGTGAGAAACATCAATTGGTTGTCTCCCGTATACTCCCTGACTGGGGATCAAACCCGCAACCCGGGTATGTGCCCTGACCAGGAATCAAACCAATGACCCTTCAGTTCATGGGACAATGCTCCAACCAACTGAGCCCCACAGGCCAGAACAACAGGTATTTATGATAAGCTTACTTTTTCTGATGTTAGTATAGCCACTGTAAGTGATCGATGTTTCTCTCTCATCGATGTTTCTAACTCTCTATCTCTCTCCCTTCCTCTCTGTAAAAAATCAATAAAATATAAAAAAAAAAATAAAACTATTTGTGGTTTTGAATCTAAAGTGTATGCTTCATGGACAGCACATTGTTGGATCTTGTTTTTAATTTGTCTTATAATCTATGCCTTTTGGTTGAATTATTTAGTCGATCCTATTTAAAGCTATTATTGATATGGTTGTGACTTTGTACATCACTTTGTTTTTTTGTTTTCTATATGCCTCATGACTGCTTCTGTGATTTGTTCCTCTTTTACTATCTCTTCTTGTCTTGAGTGGCTATTTTCTAGTGTACTTTTTTTATTCCTTTAATGATTTTTACTATATTTTTAAGTTACTTTCTTATCGAGTACTCTTGGCTTTCCAATATTTAGGTCACCCATCAAAATCTGCTTCAAAATTATAATAATGTAATGTCAAAACACTTGCATTATTATATGGTTTTACTATTTGTTTTGTTGTCTTAGGTAAGTCACTTTTTGTTTGTGCCTTTTAGAATTAGCCTGTTACTTTAGGCCTTATATTAACAGATCCAGATCCAGAGACTTACAAATGTTCAAATGGTTCAAAAGCAACATATTCTGTTAGTGGGATTTGTTTGTTTCCACTGAGCAGTTTGCAGATCCTTGTATTTGCTCATGAAAAAGATAATTTGGACAGAGTTGTAAGTGCTCCTTTAAAATAAATGTGGCCACTATTATCAACTCCCAAATGATCAGAACTAATGGAAGAATTACTAGCTGTGTGGTTTTGGACAAGTCCTTAATCATTTTGCACCTGATTTTTCTTAAGTATAAAATAGGAGTTGTGACGATTAGGTAAATAAATATAAGTAATGCACTTAGAAGAATGCCTGACATATAATAATGCTCAGGAAGTTTTCCATTGTCATTATTATTACTACCTTGACATTTTTCTTACCTATACCAAACATTTTAGGCTTCTAGGCACTTTACTAATCTCTTTGATTGAAATGTTCATTTTCTCTAACTACCAACCTTGCCTGTATCATTGGAAACTTGCTATTATCTAAACTTGTTTAGTTAGTGAGAAGAAAATTTCAGTTGCTAGAGAAACAAGTAACAGGTAATGGTGCTCCAGAGTGAAGTATGTGCTAAAAATTTTCCAGTGTCTGTGCTTAAAAAAATGTTTTTTACCCTTTCAGAGATGTAGTGTCCAGTGTTATAAAGTGCCTTGGAACCTGAACTAATGATCTTTTCCCTATTGGAGCAGAAGAAGACTGTATTAAAAAAAGAAAGACTGTAGAACTCAGTGTCTCACCTTTCTTTGTTTTGTGAAAGGCCTCAATGCATTTGATAATTAATGCAAAATTAGTAATTAAATTACTTCCTTTCCTAGATCACTGCTCAGATTTATATAGGCACTGAGTTCATTTAGACAATATGAGTGTTACCAAAACTCTTAGCCTCACCCTAAGCCATAGGCATAGTTACATTTGTACTGTTTCTAAGGAAACTAGCATAATGATGAGTCTCTGGTACTTGGGGTAAATTCACCCAGTCTTTTGTTATGGATGGCAGAAAGAAAAATTGATTTGGGTTTGGAGTGTGAAAGTCTGAAGCCTCTGACTATTCTTATTCAAGTATGTAAATTCCCTGTAGGAAGTTAGTCATATTTCAGTTGCTCTCTTTTTGAAATGCTTACTCCCCCAGGTATTTCTGAATGCACTTTTTCAGCTGCATATTCATTTTTCCCTCAGTAGGAAAGACATCAGAAACTTAATGAAGGCTATTTTTATAGGACTTTTTGGGTTACACTTTGTAGCTATTAACTGGCAGCTTGGAGAACACCCTGGAAAAATTTTAATTTTCTCCCTTCCACCTTAACAATATTAGAACAGGCAAAACTAGAATGTTTGTAGCAAGGAGTGAGGTGAGGGCAAAAGGGAATGGTAATGAATAAGATTCAGTACTTTTTTGTTCATGGGACTTTTTTTTCTTTATTTATATGTACTCTTTGTTCTAAAAAACAACTTGATGTGGACTTGTTTGTAAATGGATGAAATGGCACATATTTTCAGTTGATAATTTTAGAAAAGGGACACTGCTACTTTGCTTAGACAAGAGAGAAAATTAGGGAGAAGAGGTTTTGTGAACACTACCAATATTAATTTTGTATTAAGCAGATATGGACCCTATCCCCTTGGGGTTTACAGTTCAGAGAGACTGACAATCAAATTTTCACACAAATAAAAAATTACACAACAGTATATAAAATTATACTTATGATAAATGCATTGAAGGAAAGGTCCATGATGCTGTATGAACATATGGCTATGACCTAAAGTAGGGGTTAAGGGAGGATTCCCTGAAGCATGAGTACTGGTATAATTTCTGAAGGAAGAGTAAGAATTAACTTGGTGAAGTGGAGGCTAAGGAAGGGAAGAGTTCTCCAGGCAGGGGGGATAGCTTGTGAAAATGTCTAGAATGTGAGGGATCATATTTCATTTTAGGAATATGAAAGTGGGTGAGTGAGTCTAGAGCTCAGATAAAGGAAGAGTGAAGCTAAAAGGGCATGCTACCCAGTGATATGGTAAAAGACCTGGGAGTCATTTATGAGATTAATCAGAAAAGTAGTTAAGTTCCTTAGGGACAAATTAAGGGAGATGAATTGGAAGACAGAGATATTAACCCAAAAAGGAGAATTATAGTGAGCTGGTCTGTCATATAGGCAGATAGTGACCATGATTATATTTAGGTTGACTTTAATCACTATAGTACATTCACTGAGTTGCAAAAATTGAGCACTCCCCCACCCCCTCCAAAGCTCTTCTCTTTACCTTTTTTTTTTTTCACAAAACAGTTTCCTTCTCACCTTGTCTCACTTCACACCTCTTGCATTTGCTCACTTGGATCTGACCACCTGGAAAGATTTCCTCTTCTTTTCTTGGCTTATTTAAATAATTATCACCATCAAAGTCCTGCTCAAATCCCACTTACTCTGGGAAGCCCTCCCCTGTCCTTGGGACTTTATCTCCATCCTCTGATCCATTACAAAACTTATTCTCCATATAACTCCTTTAGTATTTTTTTTTAATTTGCTTTTGGTATCTCACACTTTCACATGTCTTATGTTTACAGCTAGAATGTGAGGCACTACAGGGCAGTGACTATTATCTTTTTCTTGTAGATTGATAAATGCACTCAGAGCTAGTCCTAGCTCAGAGTGGGTAAATGACCACTTTGTGGAGATACAGTCTATATCAGCAACTGACAGATATAGACATACCTGAGGTAAGTGGAGAGGTGACAGAAAGAACAGGGACTAGAGGTGGGGGTGGAGAGACAACAGAGAAGTACTTTTCAGAGTCAGTGACAAGTAATAAGGCTAGTATTAGCTTCACACTCACTTGTTTACTGGCCTTGACTGGTAGTGAGAACAGCCAAAATAGAGCTGAAGAATGAGGGAGAATACAGAAACTTGAAGCATGTTTTATTTGGGAGGCAGCTTAATTACGCAGACTTAAGTCCTGAAGCAGGCAGAGGATTCCCCAATTCTCCAGGGGCATGACTGGAGAAAGCACCGTCTCCCTGGTCTAAGAATTTCATTCTAGAGAAGGGAGAGGGGTTATTGTTGGTGGCAGTGTTGGCAGTGAGTGGAGGGTAAGGGAGAGAGGACTGGGGGAGGGGCTGGCAGAGGGGAAAGGCTAACAAAAAAGTTACGGATGGATGAGTGCATTTCTGCGACAAATTCATGTCAGAGAAAGAGAGGGAATGAGGAAAAAATAGGAAGGGGGAAAAAAGCAATGTGGGTGACCAAAGGAAGTCAAGCTATAGAAAAATAACTTACCCAGGGGGCCGGAGGTATACAGTTGAAGATAACTCCCCATTATAAACAAATTGCATCTGTACTATTTATTTTGGTTTTGAGTAAAACTTTCAAAAATGTAATGGTAATTAGACTTCCTGCCAGGCAGTTATTTAAGAGAAATACAGACCTTCCTTTTCCCACCGAGTACTCCCTAGTTCATGGAGGATGGGTATTAGAGCTCTGGGATCCTCCCTTTTCCCATCTCCATCTCAGGGCACTTCACTGGCTTAAGTGAATATATATTGAATTGTATTTTTCTGTGGTAGTGTGAGGTTTAATTCTACATAATATAATAGGAATGTATTTGTGGTAGCATTCACTTTTGCCTTTCCCTGAACCCGAATTATTATTATCCATATTGTTGTAATTATTTAAACAAACTAGAATAAACAAGGGCTGCTCATAATTCTCTCCTCCAAGTTTGGCGGTTTGTCTCCTCCTCCTCCTCATTAGAATTGTGGAGGGGTAGCAGTCCTGCAGCAAAGACAGGCACACAGGCTTTCTCTGTGGATTAACTGGTTAGGAGAGACACTTTTTACATTGCCAAGCAGCACTTAAGCTGCTAATTCTTGACTGTGAAAACTACTTTTCCTGGGCAATGCTCTTTAAGGAAAAACTTCAGTCCAGGGATTGGTGACTAAGGGAATGAGGGAGCACAGGGGATTGGGCGGGGTCTCGGCTCCCAATAGTGCCTCCTTATCCAATGAAAAGCATTTCCTATTGAGACCCCCAGAAGTTCCCCCGGCCCTCAGCTTCAGCCGGGAGTTTGGGCCTTTTCTTGTGTCCTGTTTGTTAAAGGCATGCCGGCTACTGCATTCAAGAGGGCCATTTCTTAACAAAGGGAAGGAGATAGATGTAAATAAGCTCACATTTTCAGAATGAGCGGTTCGCTGTAAGAAGCTGTGGCAGCCCAGAGTCTGCTACTTTGGGCTGGGCTAACCTTTCCCTGTTTAAAAAAAAATGGATTAAAATATGCACTTTTAAAGTGCGAGTTGCCCGTTCACATGCTTATTAGCTAATTTTCTGCCCGCTTGAGCACACTCTCTCATCTAGCACATTCTTTCTTGGGGTAAGTCTCTTTGAGAAAGATTTGATTTGGGCGTTTGTGGTTGGGGGTGGGGTGGGTGGAGGCAGCGTAACAGACTTCAGTGGAATTGCTTTGAGTGTTTGGGGAAAGAAATTAGATTTCAACTCTGAAGTGCTGAACAGATCGTCGTGTCGAATGGTTTAAAAAAAAAACAAAAAAAGGAAGAATTTCTATTGTTTTGTTTTGGCAATAATATTGTTTCAGTGGAAAAGATACAGGATTTTCAGGCTGTTGTTTTATGTAAACACAGAGTGGAGCTTAGAAATTCTTTTGGCTAGCTTTATATTTCGTTGGTTTGCAAGTGATTGTGAGCTAATGTGGCTCCTATTATGAGGTTTCTTCTAGGAAAACTATATGGAGCATGCTTTGATGCTTAATTGATGTATGGAGAATGTGACATTTGCTATATTGAATAATTCATGAACTTGACTATGAAGGAAGAAACATTTCAATGAAAAACTAATTCTGGAATAAATTGAATTTACTATTATGTGTTAAATTAATTGCTGTTTTTCATACAAAAGCAATAATATGACATTTAACATTCTCTTCTTGCATGTCCTGAATATTTTTTACAATTTAGCTACAAGATCTTGAACTGATAAATATTGTATTTTAGTTACTTTGTTTTAGGAAATATAGTAATGTAATTCATCATTATTCCAACATGGACAAAACCAGATAAATCCAAATCTTAGAACATTTAAGAGATTTTTTTTTGGGTTATTCACTTTGCTACCTTACTAAATGACACCATCTTTCTTTTTCCTTGACTAACATGAAGACAATAAAAACTGAAGCTCCAAATTATCCAGTGGCTTTGAAACATGTTTATTTTTCAGAACAAAATTCCAAACAACATATCCTATCAACAGGATTTTAAATCCTTTTTCCTTGTCACAGATGAAAAGTTTACACTCCTGCTATAAAGGATGAGTTCAGCTGATACTTGATGGCGTCTAGCATCTCCTGCCAATCAGAGATGCGAATGAAAGCAGCATTGGAACAATCAGATCATCCTTTCAGAATGTGTACTCTCTGTAAGTTAAAGAGAGGACTGGGAAGATGCCTAACAGCAACACTTAGGCCAAAAGTAGCTAGAGCTTCATTTATTCAATTTCCTTTGAGAAAAAATGCAGTGACAGTTATTGCCCTTGCTGTGGTGTGGTCAGGGCCTAAGTGTGTAGTTGCCTTTTTTTTTTCTGTGTACGGTCAGGTCACCATGTATTAGTATTCTCATGGCCTTAACCGGGAAGGAAAAAACACACACCTATAATGTATTTGTGAATATTAGTACTGAAAATTGGGAGCTTAATAGGAGGTCACCTACCACTGGGAATCCAGCCTTATTTTTAGGAGATAGGTAATTTTATCAGAACAAAACAGAGGATAAGTATTCTATTGATTTTATTTAATTATGTTCTGAAGTATTTCGATAACCTTATATTTTGAGGAAAGAATTGACTAGGTGACCAGAAAACAGGTAGCAAAGGTTGAGGAATAAACTTAGATAGTTAAAGCTTATATGCCTACTGATATGGGCATAAAGACAGAATATGAGAAAAACGAGGGCATTAGGAAGACTTAGAACTAATTAATAATATTTCTGATATTAAAGGTATCTAAACTATATATGTTGACAGACTTACTGTGGTGTTCATTTTGCAATAAATACGAATATCAAAATTATTATGTTGTACAGATAAGACTAATATGTATGCCAATTATACTTCAATTAAAATAGATAAAATAAATCTAGGAATAATTTCATTAAGTCTAACAAAAATGAATTCCCCTTACTTCACACTTTGAGGGATTAAATTTTTTTTTTGCAATGACAAATGGGAGCAGGTGAAAACAACTGACTAAAGAGGTCAGTGAGGCCATGCCATAGCACCAGTTGAAAGTTGCTATCAACTAAGGCAAAAGATAGAAGAAAATAAACTGAGGTCCAAAAAGGGATTGTGACTTGCTCTCACACAGTTAGCTAGTGATGGGGCTGGATGTGGTTTTATTGAATTAATAACAAATATGAAAACTTCTGGGTATTTGAAATTCCAAGTTTGCTTGGATTCCAAATAAAAAGAATTTTTTTTAAATAATGTGTATCAATTTTGAAAGCTATAAAAAAAGAAATGTTAATGTTTCTGTCTTCATAAGCCAGTAAAATAATATTCATTTCATTCCAGGAATACTGCTCTCTGGAGGAGTGCGAAAATCAATTCTCAATATTAAGGTGATCTCAAATATATTTTAAATTGTCTAATGACTTTACTATTTTTATTTCAGTTCTCTTAGATTAGAAAAAATTATTTCAAGAGAGTTGGAGTATTATTTAACAGTCTGCTTTGTTTAGGCCACCTTTGTTTAGAAGGTGGTGAGATGTGACAATAGTATAAGTTTGGCACTAACAGATGCCTCTACTTTCTAAGCAGTAAATGAGTAGGATTCAAATGTAGGTGCTACTTGTAAGAATTTTATTGCCAACTATTTCTGGTTCTATACAACTATTTTGTGCAGAGTTGTGATTTGAAGATGTTATAGACGTGCTGTATTGGTTAGGCCTAGTCCATCCTAGTAGAGGCAGCAGTGATTGTCAGTGTGCTAATGCCCAGAACTTGAAACCTTGTTCATATCACTATAGTTAAGGGAGAAATAAATTTAACTGGGGTAGGAGTGCAGGTTGGAAACATGCCAATAGGGTCTCCACCTGTTGTTCCAGTCTTCTTTCCTCTTCCCTTATCAAGGCTCTTGCCAAATAGTAACAGTTGTTGCCAGGGGAAAAGAAAAGAAAAAAAAAAAGAAAGAACAAAGAGCCAACATAACTTCAGGCCAAAAAAACCCCTCCTCTGTTCAGTTATTTTTAATTCAGTATATTACCTTAGGGAAGTGGAGGAAGTATTTTTATGCCTTTTGCCATTAGTTATCTTTAAACAATTATAGGTTACACAGACTCATGGACGTTTTGCTTATCAATACAACCAATAAAGTATGGCACAATAGTAGCAGGTTTGGAAAATAAAATGTGATCTGATATTATGTAATAATGAAATGCAAAACATTCAGATACCATTTTAAAATATGTTGGCTCTCATTTAGTTTGATTTGTATCATTTAATCCTTTTTTGCCCTATGATCTTGACATACATTTTATTGAAAAGTCTTTTGATGTCACACTATTGTGACTAATTGTATTTCACAGCATCCATTGGAGGAAATTCCTAACCACAGTGCCTCCAGAAAGTTATTTGATCACCCAAGTCTCAGATAAAGTTGGTGCCAGAATTTGGTTTGAACTAATGCGGTGAGTACCAATCTCCTGATAATAGCTTTCTTCATAATTCTTCAATTAGTTTTGTAACCAATACTTCCAATTTATGATAGATTATATAATATCAAAATCCACGAAGATTTGTGATTGTTTATTGTAGTCCAGGCAATTTTGGTGTAGATGAATATTGATTCTTTGGTTTTAAGCCCTCTATGCCACTGGTATATATCTTTATAGATGGGCAACATGGTTTTTATTCATATTATCAGGATCAGTATCCAAGAATATCAGATAAACTGGTATGCAAATTGCTAACTGATTCTTTAATCAAAAATAAACAAGGATGTCAGTCTGTTCTATGAGAGAAAAAAAACCTCAGAGACACAGATAGCAATAAGGTAATTACCAGAAAGAAAAGGGAATGGGGGCAGGTAGAAGAGAGTAAATGGGGTATAAATGGTGATGGAAGGAGACTACACTTTGGATGGTAAATATACAGTTTATGTATTATGGAATTGTACACTTGAAACCTATAAGATTGTATTGCCAATGTAATCCCAATAAATTCAATAAAAAATAAAAAATAAACAAGGCATATCAATCTAAACAATTGACACACATGGGGAGGCTTGTTTGAAATGAGACCTCATACAGATCAATTTCCCAGCTCAGTTCTGGAGTGAAATATCTACCTATGGTTTCCTCCATATGTCAAAAGGCTGGGTTATGTTTTGAAAACTATTATGAAACATCAACTAATGCATAGTTACATCAGTTGGAACCATGGGTATGATTGTGACCTGTCCTTCTGACTTGGTCTAGAACCGTGGTCGGCACACTGCGGCTCGCGAGCCACATGTGGCTCTTTGGCCCCTTGAGTGTGGCTCTTCCTAAGCCTTAGGAGCACCCTAATTAAGTTAATAACAATGTACCTACCTATATAGTTTAAGTTTAAAAAAATTAGCTCTCAAAAGAAATTTCAATCGTTGTACTGTTGATATTTGGCTCTGTTGACTAATGAGTTTGCCGACCACTGGTCTAGAAGATTTCGTTAAGAAGTCTTATCTGTTAGTAGTCACTCATCTGAGGAACAACAGTATGTACATATGCCCTGTTACTCCAGCATGATGTTTTGTTTTGTTTTTAATTTTCTTTTTTTTCATTTTAAAATGTATTATTATTGTTGATAGTATTACAGATATCTCCCATTTCCCCCTCTTTCCCCCCTCCTCCTAGCCCCTACCCATCCCCCAGGTCTTCACTACCCTATTGCCTGTGTCCATGGGCTATGCATATAAGTATATGAGTTCTTTGGTTTATCTCTTCTCATCCCCCCACATGATGGTTTTGATTTGTATTTTTTGCAACATTTTTGTATTTTTTCATTTACCTCACTGCTAGATATTTATAGGCCAGGACACAATAGGTTTCAGCTTCCTCTGAAAACCATTGTGTCAATGTTCCTAAGCTTCAACCAGAGTAGAAAGAGGAAATGCTCTGGGGATCAGAAGCACTCTGATCTGACCCTGAGCTCATGAAAAAGGGAGAAAAGCAAGAGAATTGGAGTATACTTTGTCTTCAAGGCTTTATTTTCCTCTGGACTCTCTTCTGTAGGGAACAAAAGCAAGCCAGCCTTTCTAGGCTACTGGGCATATGTCAGAATTTAGAGCTTTGTTTTTAACATATCATCTGAAAGTTTAGCATTAGTAAA